TTTAATTCAGAAGTCACCTTCAATTCAGCCAAAATTTGGTGCATTTTTCTTGGAATCAGCCTTGGCCTCACACCAGGAGTGTGCTGGGAATTTATGGCTGCACTGAGGTGTCCCCTGCCCCTGGCTGGTGTCCCCCCCGAGCTGCTGGGTGGGTGATGGAGCAGAAATCACCCCAAACCCCCCACGTGTGACAGATCCCCCTTGTGCAGCCTCGCAGCCTGCAGGAAACCAGACCTGGGGACAGCACAAGGGACACTGCTGGCACCACCACGGGCTCAGGGGGCACTGGCAGGGACAAGAGGGAGGGGTGGCTTGGAGACCAAGCTCAATGGTGGGAAAAAGAGCAAGGGGAAGAAAAAAAGCAGTGATAAGCATCTTTTATCTGCGGCTGTTGCTGCCCTGCTCTCCCCCTCATTTCCTCTGCTGCCCTCGTGTTGTGTCACTCTGTCACCTGCATCCCCAGCAGTGCTGATGGATGGATGAGCAGCTCAGGCTCTGGCCCAGAGACAATGAATCCCTGGAGCTGCTCCAGCAGTGTCGTGTTCCACACAAAGTGGGACACTTTGCCCTGCCCAGCAGTTTCCTGTCCCTTGGTCTGCTCTGGAACACAGCAATTGCTTCCCTGGGAGTGCAGGGGTTAAAAGATGGGTGTCCACACTCGGGGAGGAGCAGAGCATCCCAGCCCCGGTGCACGAGGTCCTGCTTTGCTCCATTTCTCTTCCCACCCTCAAATATTTTCAAAGTGGGGACGGTGGCACCTGTGGCAGCTTCAGGGCAGCTCCAGGGTCAGGCAGGAGCTGTCCCAGGCACTTCACAGCATCCTGCAGCCCCCCGAGTGGAGCAGAACCCCCCGCTGCCCCTTCCCCTGCGGGGCACGGGGTGGGCACCGTCCCTGGGGGCAGAGGTGGCAGCATCACCCCCTTGCAAGGAGGCAGGAGTGTCTCTGTCCCTTCCACTGCCCCTCCTGACACAGAAGGGACAGAGAGCAAAGGGAACGCTGGGCTTTCCTCCCTGCTCCTGCAGCGAGGAGACAGCCCAGAGCTCCCTCCTGGCCACGCAGGGAGCCCCAGAGAGAAACGAGCAAGCAAAAACTCCGCTTTATCACTCAAACCCCAGTTCTGATTGCACCGCTCTCCCCTGCAAGGGTAAAGGAGAGATTAACGAGATTAACGAGGAGCTGCGAGTCAGGGGTGGCTCCCTCTCACGGCTGGGAGGGACGGAGAGGAAAAGAAATCAGGAGCCAGGAGGCTGCACTCTGATCCCCCCCAAAACCTGCCCAGAGCACCCTGACCCTGCCAGGCTGCTCGGAAGCAGCAGCTTGAGGGAGCCTAAAGAATCCTGGAACAGGTTGGGTGGAAGGGACCTTAAAGATCATTGAATTCCACCCCCAGCCACGGGCAGGGACACCTTCCACCATCCCAGGTGGCTCCAAGCCTCATCCAGCCTGGCCTTGGGCACTGCCAGGGGTCCAGGGACAGCCACAGCTGCTCTGGGCACCTCCCCACCCTCACAGGGATGGATTTCTCCCCAAAACCCCATCTAAATCTACTCTCTGGCAGTTTGAAGCCATTTCCTGTGTCCCATCTGTCCAATCTCTATTTTCCTGCAGGTCCCCTCAGGTCCTGGAAGCTGCAATTGCACCCCCAGGGAAGGCACAGGAGGTGCCCTGTCCCTCCCAGCTGCCACAGCCGGCACACCCAGAGGAATGCAGCAGCGAGGAGAGGGAAAGCAGAGGGAATCCCCTCTGAGTGGGCACTGCCAGGGTCACAGGGTGCCTCTGGGTGGGCAGCAGGGCTGCTGTGAGCTGGCAGTGATCCCTCCCTGCCCTCTGCATCCTGCTGCTGCCTCCTCACGGCCCTCCCTGCAAGGAATTTCACCGATTCCCCTCCCTGCTGCCAAGCTTTTTTTGAGGATTGTCACCCCCAAGATCTTGCCCAGAGCCTGATCTGACCATGCCACTTAATTCCAGTTTGTGATTAACCTCTGGGCAGGCACAGGATGGCCAGCATGCAGCTCCTTGCAGTTCTCAGGAAAGTGTTCCGTGCCCAAAGCCCGGCTGTTCATTCCAATTATGTCAGTTGGGCTGATAAAAGTGATTATTCCTCTCTGCCAGCCCAGCTTTCTCATTGATCCCACAGGCTGCTCTTCAAATGTCACTCAGCGAGGAGGGAGAACACATCCAATTATGAACAGGGAAAAGAGCAGCGTGATGACAAAGCACCAGGGCCAGTGGGCCATGGAACAAATGGGATCTGTCTGCCTTTGACACCCTAAAGTGCAAGGAACCCAAAAAGAGGCATTTTGGGGCTCTGCCCTCCAAAAAATTCAAACAGAACTGTTCATAACATCTCCAAGGTTTGGTGTTGTATTTGTTCCAATATGAAGCCTTGAACCTGATGGAAATCGGAGGCATTTTGGGGCTCTGCCCTCAAAAAAATTCAAACTGAACTGTGTTCATAACATCTCCGAGGTTTGGTGTTGTATTTGTTCCAATATGAAGCCTTGAACCTGATGGAAATCTAATTATTACTCAAAAGCACAGGTAAAGTCATGCAAACCTCAGAAGCCAGTGAGACTTGGGGTGATGGAATTTATTTTTATGTCGGGAAAATTCCTGCATTTTTTGTGAACCTGTGTCCAGCTCACTGAGGGTCACAGCTGTGGAGTCAAAGACAAAAATCATCTCAAGCCCTGGGCCCACCCTAAAAGGTGAGCAAGGATTGCTAAAGAGGAAACCAAGGGAGAAAACCAAGGAACAAAACTCAGCCTTGCTCTGCTTCCTCCAGCAAAGCCCAGGCTGAGATTTCTTTGAACAGAGTACAACAAACTCAAAATATCAAGCTGGAAACTGGGCTGGCTGATCCTGCACCCTGGGCAGGGATTCACAGAGCCCTGGCGCTGCCTCTGGAGGGGATGAGAGACACGGGGCTGCCTTGGGTAAAACACTGGTGTTTGTTGAAGCTTTGTCTCTCCCTCCACCACATCCCCAAATCTGCTGCTGCTCCTGCCAGGGCCAGTGCTGCCTGCAAGGCTGGACATCTGTCGGATGAACATCTGGATGTTTATTAGGATTGGGGACTTAATTCTTTAGGAATGCTTGGATTTGGTGTCAGAATAGTCAGGAAGAGCCCAGCAAACTCACCTGGTCCCTGCCTGGCACCTCGAGTGCTTCCTAGAGCTGCCACATCTAACAAAAAAGGGGGAACAGGGAGCTGAGGATGAGGTGCAGCTCCCACAATTTCTGCTTTTCCTTCTGTTGTGGGTTTTTGGTTGTTGTTTGGGTTGTTTTTTTTTTTTTTTTTTTGATTTTTTTTTTTTTTCTGTCCCACTACTGCATCTCCTCCACATCCCTGCTTTCCCAGGAGCTTTTGGCCGTGTTTTCCCTGCAAGGTGAGCGCTGCTGGCCTGGGGCAGAGGTGGGGAATGGACACTGCACCCAGCTGGGGCCCCCTGAGCCCCTGTGGGTCACAGCCCTGCTGGGGGGAGCTCTGTGAAAGCCTTGGTGCCACAAACTGATCCCAGCAGGTCCCAGCTCTGCCTGGTGTGAGTGTAGGGGGGATGGCCCCTTTTTTTTAACCTTATTTATCCTACAGCAGGGGAAGCTCTAGGTGATCAGCTCAGGTCAGGAGCTCCTCCCAGCGCCCCTGCTTTCCCAAATGTCTGCAGTGCAGGGGATGACCTCTGGGTCTTCTGCTCCTTTTTAAACCTCTGAAGGGTGTGGGTGCAGAGGTGGAGAGTGGGAGGAGCGGGGAAGCCCGGTTCAGGGCAAGGCAGACACTTCCTAACTGCCTTTAATCGCATTTCCTGATTGCAGTACCTCATCTGCCCTCTGCTTTAAACCACAAAACTTCCTCCCTTCCCCAGAAATAAATATCCCCAGCACAGCTGGGGCACGGCATGGACACCCAGCAGGCTGTGGTGTGGGGCAGTGGGGCAAAGACAGCAAAGAGAGGGCAACCTGGCCCTGGCACCCCAGCACTGCAGGAAAAATGAGGCAGAATCATGAAAACGCATCAGAGCCCAAGAGCTGATGAGTTTCAAGTAAGATTCACCATTATTAGTGTTTAATTGCTGCACAGACAGGAGTCTGACACTGCCTGTGCCATGGGAGGGCCACAGAGCTGCATCCAGCCAGGACTGACCTGCAGCTGCTGCTGGTGGTGGCTTTGGGGTAATCTGGGAGAAACGAATTCTTTATTTTCTCCCTTTCTGTGGTACAGGGCAGCTTTAGAACCACAGCTTTCAGCTGTCACCTCTGAGAGCACCTCTGAGATGTGTCTCTGGAGAGCAGTGCTGCTCCAGAGGGACGGCAGAAATGAAACTCCAGAGGCAGCGTTATCTCCTGTCAGGCTGAAAGGAAGTTTTCAGGATTCCTCAGCCCTCATTTAGCCAATGTGTTTGTTTTGGAGGGGAATGCTTGTGATAGTGTCTGGCTCTGGCCACATGCCTGGCTGCAGCGTGGCCGGCCACAGTGTCCAGTGGTCACTCCCTGCCTGGTCAGTGCCCCCAGGACAGTTAAGGGGTGTCTCTGCCCTTGACCAGCTCTGGGATTTCTGTGGCTGCTCCGCTTAGATGCCCCCCACAAGTGGGGTGCAGCAAGAGCACTGGGCTGGGGACTGGCAGGGATGGGGACCTGGGTGACATCCTGACACGGGGTGCCACCAACAACCACGGGGTGCCAGGAGCCGCAGAACCCTCGGGATTCTCCCGGTGCTGTGCGTGCTGGTGAACCCACAGGCGGCACGGGTGGGCTGGGGACACCTCCGGGCGGGCACCGTGGGGACATCAGCGGCGTAGGGAGCGCGCTGCGGGCAGAAGGCACGGGGACACGGCCGAGAGCGGCGCGCCAGGGCCAGCCCGGGCCGGGGGACAGGAGGACGGCGGGGAAGGGCAGCGCGCAGGGCGCGGGCTGCGGGGACACGGCGGGGATGCTGCGGGGCACGGGGCGGGGACACGCGTGGGGCAGGCGGGGGTGGCCGCGGGGTGCGGGGGGGCTCGGGGTGCGGACAGCGCTGCCCGGCGGCAACGCCAGCGCCAACCAGAGCGCCGCCGACCCCACGGTGTCGCGGGACGTGTGGGTGGTGGGCATGGGCATCCTGATGTCCCTGATCGTGCTGGCCATCGTCTTCGGCAACGTGCTGGTGATCACGGCCATCGCCCGCTTCCAGCGCCTGCAGACCGTCACCAACTACTTCATCACCTCGCTGGCCTGTGCCGACCTGGTCATGGGGCTGGCCGTGGTGCCCTTCGGCGCCTGCCACATCATCATGGAGATGTGGAAGTTTGGGAACTTCTGGTGCGAGTTCTGGACCTCCGTGGACGTGCTGTGCGTCACGGCCAGCATCGAGACCCTGTGCGTCATCGCCGTGGACCGGTACTTCGCCATCACCTCCCCGTTCAAGTACCAGAGCCTGCTGACCAAGGGCAAGGCGCGCGTGGTCATCCTGGTGGTGTGGGTGGTGTCGGGCCTGACCTCCTTCCTGCCCATCCAGATGCACTGGTACCGGGCAGACCACGAGGACGCCATCCGCTGCTACCAGGACGAGATGTGCTGCGACTTCTTCACCAACCAAGCCTACGCCATCGCCTCCTCCATCATCTCCTTCTACCTGCCCCTCGTTGTCATGGTCTTCGTGTACGCCAGGGTCTTCCAGGTGGCCAAGAAGCAGCTGCAGAAGATAGACAGGAGCGAGGGGAGGTTTCACACCCAGAACAAGGAGCAGGAGCAGAAAGGGGGAGCCGGGCACCGCCGCTCCTCCAAGTTCTTCTTGAAGGAGCACAAGGCCCTCAAAACCCTGGGCATCATCATGGGCACCTTCACGCTGTGCTGGCTGCCCTTCTTCATCGTCAACATCGTGCACGTCATCCAGGACAACATCATTCCCAAGTACGTGTACATCCTCCTGAACTGGCTGGGCTACGTCAACTCTGCCTTCAACCCCCTGATCTACTGCCGCAGCCCCGACTTCAGGTACGCCTTCCAGGAGCTGCTGTGCCTGCGCAGGTCAGCCCTGAAGATGTACGCCAACGGCTACTCCAACAGCAACGGCAGGAGCGACTACAACGAGGAGGACAACGGCTACCCCCTGGCCCCGGATAGAACCTGCGACTTGCTCTGCGAGGAGGGCTCCTTCCCTCGCCCCGAGGACTTTTTGCACGGCAAAGGTACTGGGCTCGGCGGGGAGGGGGCTGGGGGCTCGGGCGGGGGTTGCACAGAGGAGCCTTTGCAAGGAAAATCGACCTCCTTTCATAAAAATAGTGGTTCTTTTTAGAGAGTGCCTAAAAACTAACAGCTGTGAGAAACCCCGAACTCTGACTCTGCAAAGCAGGGCTGGCTCCTGGCAGGGTGGAGGGGCTGCTGGCAGCCCCCCTGGTTCGGGGCACCCCCCGGGGGTCCCTTAGCGGGGTGGGGGATGCCAGGCTGTGCACAATACTCGTCCCCGGAGGGACATTCTGGCCGTGGCCGGGGCTGAACTGAGCTGGGGCTGAGCTACCTCATGACCTTGCTGGGAGCGGGGCTGGACCCCCCTGCCCCGTGGGGCTGCTCCCGGTCCCCTTCTCACAGCCCCGCCGGTGGCTGTGGGAGCCCTCCCGGCCAGGAGGGCACCTGGGGCGGGGGTGGCAGCATTGCCCAGCCCGGGGCACTTTGCAGAGGTGGCAAAACCCCTGAGTTTGATCTGCGACAAACCGGCGGGGAAGGGATGCAGGCAGGGGCGGGCTCGGCGCTGCCGGCTCTGGGACAGTTTGATCACCGCCCAGAAACTGCGAATGCTCTCTGGGGTTTTGTTTTACTAAGTGCTACGGGACTTTGTAGGGGAAAAAAACCCCAAAATAATGTTAGGAATAAACGGAGCGTACGCCTAGAATGTGAGCCTGTGACTGTGGCACTCAGGAATGTGGCACTGGGAAGTCGGGTGACACGCGGCTACAGTCACAGCCCGGCCAAAAGCTCGTAAAGCGCCCGGTTTGTTTAGCTGCAAGGCTCGGGTGACAGCGAGCCCGGGGAGGTGGGACGGGAGGAGGTTTGGATTTTCCGTGACACCTTGGAAAAGCCGCTCCGACCGCGGCACGGCTGCAGGTCGCTTGGGATGGGTGTGGAGGGGGTTTTGTCCCGTGTGCCAGGCTCTGCCAGGTGGCAGGGTGGGCTGGGGACATCACAGGACGGGACAGGACGGGACAGGACAGGACAAGACAGGACAGGACAATCCCTGGCTGGAGGGTGGCAGCGATTTGTGCTGGGGGTGCGCCCCGGTGTCACACACCGGACCCGCGGCCGGGAAGGTGTGCAGTGCGGGGTTCTTTCAGGAATACTCGGGAAAAGGGCAGGAAAAGCTCCCGGGACCTCTCGGGCCGCGGTGTCCCGGGGGATGCTCGGGGGAGACAGAACAGGACGGGACAGGATAGGACAGGACAGGACAGGACAGGACAGGACAGGACGGGACAGGACAGGACAGAACAGGACAGGACAATCCCTGGCTGGAAGGTGGCAGCGATTTGTGCTGGGGGTGCACCACGGTGTGACACGCTGGACCCGCGACCGGGAACGGGGTTCTTTCAGGAATACTCGGGAACAGGGCAGGAAAAGCTCCCGGGACCTCTCGGGCCGCGGTGTCCCGGGGGATGCTCGGGGGATGTCCCCCCGCATCTCCACGCACCGCGGGGGTGTTGGTGGCGTTGTCGCTGTCGCTGTGGTCAGTTTGGGGGTCTCTGGGTGCCCGGGACACCCGGGTGGGTGGCGAGTGGCCCCCCGGGGCTGAGTCCCGATGCAGGAGGAGGCAGAGCGGCTCTGGGGCAGCGCCATGCCCCGTCCCGGAGGAGCAGGGCGTGGAGCGGGGTTTTGGTCACGGACAGCCCCGGCAGGCCCCGTGTGGCCCTGGCTGCTCTGAGGACTCGCCCCGAGCGCTGGAGCCCGCAGGGCTGCAGGGGAACCCCGGGCGGGCAGGGAGCACGGAGGGGACACTGCTGATGCCAGGTGTGGGGACAGACTGCCCCAGCTCTCACACCCCGCAGGGCAAAACCCAGGGCTCTGGGAGCTCCTGCTGCTCCTTTTTCTATTTCCCAAAGTGCTGCTGATCCTGCCTGGGAAGGAGGAGAAGCTCTAAGAGCCCTGTCCTCCCCAGGCGCTGTGACTGACGGGCTCCTCTTGTCCCCTGCCAGCTCAGCACTGCAGCAGGGACAGGGAACGTGGCTTTTGACCCAGTCAGGTTTGTCCCAGTGAAGAATGGAGTGTAGGAACACACTCAGTGTAGGTACATCCCTGGTATAGAAACACTACTGAATGTAGGTACACACTCGGTGTAGGAACACACTTGGTGTAGGTCACACTCGGTGTAGGTAACACTTGGTATATGAACACAGTGTAGGAACACTACTCAATGTAGGTACACACCCAGTGTAGGTAACACTCGGTGTAGGAAAACACTCAGTGTAGGAGCACACTCGGTGTAGTGCACAGTGTAGGAACACTACTCAGTGTAGGTACACACTTGGTGTAGGAACACGCTTGGTGTAGGAACACACCTGGTATATGAACACAATGTAGGAACAGGCTCAGTGTAGGTACACACCTGGTATAGAAACACTACTGAGTGTAGGAACACACTTGGTGTAGGAACACGCTTGGTGTAGGAACACACCTGGTATATGAACACAATGTAGGAACAGGCTCAGTGTAGGTACACACCTGGTATAGAAACACTACTGAGTGTAGGAACACACTCGGTGTAGGAAAACACTCAGTGTAGGAGCACACTCGGTGTAGGTGCACGGTGTAGGAACACTACTCAGTGTAGGTACACACTTGGTGTAGGAACACACTCAGTGTAAGTGCACACTTGGTGTAGGTGCATACTCAATGTAGGAACACGCTCAGTGTGAGAACACAGTGCAGGTGCACACAGTGTAGGAACACAGTGTAGGTACACAGTGTTGGAACACAGTGTAGGTGCACACTTGGTGTAGGTGCACACTTGGTGTAGGAACACACTCGGTGTAGGAAAACACTCAGTGTAGGAGCACACTCGGTGTAGGTGCACGGTGTAGGAACACTACTCAGTGTAGGTACACACTTGGTGTAGGAACACATTTTGTGTAGGAAAACACTCAGTGTAGGTGCACACTTGGTGTAAGAACACATTTGGTGTAGGAAAACAGTGTAGTGAGTGGGTACACTCGGTGTAGGTGCACAGTGTTGGAACACACTCAGTGTAGGTGCACACTTGGTGTAGGTGCACACTTGGTGTCGTGCATACTCCGAGTAGGAACACACTTGGTGCAGGTACACAGTGTAGGAACACTACTCAGTGTAGGAACACACTCAGTGTAAGTGCACACTCAGTATAGGAACGCTACTCAGTGTAGGAACACACTCAGGGCAGGTACACAGTGTAAGAACACACTCAGTGTAGGAACACACTCGGTATAGGTACACACTTGTTGTAGGCACTCACTCCGGGCTGCAGATGCAATTGAGCTCCGTGCAGGCTGTGATTATTAACAGCATTCAGGGGAAATGAGAATTAACCTCTTGATTGCAGAGATCAATATCTCTGCCTGGTTGATCTCTATCACTTTATCTCCTGTCAGTCTCTTCTGCTGTGCAATGCCCAGGGTTGGAGGGGGCACAGAGGGATGCTCCTGCACTGCTGGGGGGTCAGCCAGCCCCCAGCAGGCTCCAGTTCTCCCCAGCTGGAGGCAGGACCCTGTGGCACAGAGACTTCCCATGCCCACATCTCTGCTGTGGTTTGTATTTTCACTCTGATGAATTATTTGCATTTCGGTAGCACTTGCGGAGCAGGGTTTGTTGTCCAAATAATTGTTCTCTTTTTTTGGCTTCCTCTTCTTACTTCAAATATTGTGGCTGTGGGTAGCCAAAGCTGAGATGAGTGAGTGATTGTTTGCAGAACCACTCCAGCACCCAGAGCACGTGGATGTGGAGGGGACAGGGAATTTTGGGCTGTTTGCACTGGACAAACGACCTCGGTGCTACAAAGCTCAGCTGCACTGCCAGGAAACCTCAAGCTTGCAGTGGAGTCTGGGTGTTAAAAAACTGCTTTCTTTTCTCTAAGGCAACATTGGTAAAACTGGTGAAATAGAAACTGTGCAGCTCTGGGGGCAGCTGGAAGAAAAAGAGAGAAATAGTGGATGAAAAAATATTATGGCACCACCAAAGCCAAACCTTTCTGTGGTTGGGAAAAAGAAAACCAACTTTGGCCTGTTAAAATATTTGTATTAAAAAGCTTTATAGACACATTAAAAAACTGAGCATTGAAGTCAGGAGTCGCTGTTTAAATTGGATTTTAGGATTTCACACTGGCAGAGTTGGCTCAGGTTAAACACATCTGATCAAACACACGGTGGTGACTTCATTGGAGGGAAATCAGTGACAAACATGAAATTCTTCCTGCAAACAGAGCAGGCTGAAGCAAACACTGCTGCTGGCTGTACCTCGTGCACTGCCACAGAGGTGGGGACACAGAGGGGACACAACCCCGGGTGTTGCTGTGCAGCCAGCTGGAGCCTGGCCCTACCCTCACTGCTTTCATCCACTTTGGCCAAACAGATTGTTTTTGTTTTTAAAGTCTTGCTGGAGTGAACGCCACAAACCCAGCTTGGGTGTTGTTACAAATTCCTGCCCTGGCTGCTGCCGGGGACTGGGGCAGTTTCCACACCAGGGCAGTGTTGGCTCCATCCCCCAGCACAGAAAGCTGCTGGGTTACACCAATCCTTTGCCTCCTGTGAGCATTCCTGGGCAGCTTTGGCTGTCTGGGCAGCCAGGGCTGGAAATGCTGCTTGCTGTAGCACTGGGGAGATGTGGAAGTGAACAGGGAGGAGGGAAAAGGCTCTGGGTGCAGATCCCCACCTGGAAGTGTGCCTCGAGTGCCTTTGTAGGGCTGGCTGTTCCCAAAGTGCCTCATATCCCAGATTGTTCAGCAATTCCTGCAGTCCAGCACTGCCCACAGGGGCATCTTGTGCTGTCCTGGGTGTCAGGGCTGGACCTGTGGAGCTGGAGCCTGTGTTTGGAGTTTGTTTTCACAAACAGGACGGGACTGCTGGGGTACATTCTTTGAGCTTTCATTGCAGCCCCAGCCTCAATGCATGGCTGAGACAATAAAGATGTTAAAGCTCATGTACAGTGAGCTTACCTTTATTAATTCCCACAGCCC